AATAATAAGTCATGTAAAAATCTGTAATAATTCCTGCGGCAGCGTATCGATAATTAATACTCACATTCCAAAATTCATGCAGATCCGTTAAGTATTGAAGGAATTATGAGTGGCCCAGTTGCTTAAAAAATGCGTTTATTGGTTTTAATTATAAAATAATTAATGTAAAAATCTGTAATAATTCCTGCGGCAGCGTATCAATAATTAATACAAACATTCCAAAATTCATGCAGATCCGTTAAGTATTGAAGGAATTATGAGTGGCCCAGTTGCTTAAAAAATACGTTTATTAGTTTTAATTAAAAAATAACTCCTGTAAAAATCTGTAATAATTCCTGCGGCAGCGTATCGATAATTAATATTCACATTCCAAAATTCAAACAGATCCGTTGAGTGTTTAAGGAATTATGAGTGGCCCAGTTGCGCGAGTCCGCTGGCGAGTCCGTAGAATTGTCGATTGAGTGATCACTTGACAGTTCACCATCTATCAGATTGTCAACACGGTTTTATTGCCGGTAGATCCTGCACCACTAACTTATTATCTACGTTGAACGATTGGACTCACCTGCTGGACGAAAGGGAGCCAGTGGATGCATTGTACCTCGATTTTGCTAAAGCATTTGACAGTGTTCCGCGAAGTGAAGTCTTTGTGAATTAAGGGAAACGTACTCCAATGGATCAGAGATTTTCTAGTAGGTAGACGACAACGTACCAGTATTAACGGAACCGTGTCAGACTGGGCATGAGTGCGCAGTGGCGTGCCACAAGAAAGCCTATTCTTGGGCCTATTTTATTCGTTGCTTTTATAAACGATCTGCCAGAAGCAGTGTCCACCGTGTGTTCCATGTATGCCGACGACACAAAAGTTTATAATACAGTGAAGGATGCGTCAAATAAAGCGCAATTGCAAGTTGATCTTGACAGTTTAGTTAACTGGGCTGATACGTGGCAGCTGCGGTTTAATGCTGACAAGTGTAAAGTACTTCACCTCGGGAAGAACAATGAACAGCAAGATTACAGTATGAGAAGAGATGGCTGCAACGAGAGAGTAATGATTGAAAAGTCTAGTGTGGAAAAAGATCTCGGAGTTTATGTCGACAAGGTGCTGAAATTTTCTAAGCATGTTGAAACGCAAGCTAACACATCCAACAAACTTTTTGGACTAAGCAGACGCTCAAACGAGTTCCTAGATGCAGAAGCGATGAAGCAGTTGTTTGTTGCTGTCGTGCGCCCTAATCTAGAGTTTGGAAACGTTGTGTGGTCACCGAGATTTGAAAAGGACAAAATATTAATAGAGATTGTTCAAAGACGTGAAACAAGGATAATTCCAGGCTTGAAGGGCAAGTCCTATGAAGAAAGATTAAAGATTATGAAGCTTCCAAGCCCGGTTATCGACGTCTGCGTGGGGACCTCATTGAAGTATACAAGTATACCTATGGTTTACACAAGGTCCCCGAAGGATTACTAGAATTTTAAACAAGAACCAACACCAGGAGCCACGACTATAAACTAAAAAATTTGCGCTGCAACTTATCCACGCGAAAACAATTCATCTCGCTTCGAATCACCGACATGTAGAACAGCCTCCCCGATTACGTCGTTGGCGCTCCGAGTATGAACGCGTTCAAGAACAGACTAGATAAAGCTATGGAAAAATATATGTTCAGATTTGAAATTCCTAGCACCATATCGAACCCGGTTGAAGTCTAGTAGATATTTCAAACAATCGTCAGTCCTGAAAAGATCCGGTCAAATGACACGATTTTAGATCTTCTGTGATCAAGTCACGAAAGTAAGAATCGGCGACCGGCCACATCAGGCCTACACTTCAGCGCCGACATCGCTATGTTGTTATGTTATAGTTTGAAATGGCGAAGGTATCAAAGGTGCTGACCTTTGTGGCACTCACAACCGTCGCGGCGTCACTTCGAGGATATAGGCTTAACTGTGCCCGACACCAGCGTATAAAAGGACCTTAAATTTGGCGCCAAGGTCTGTTCTAAGGAGGTGACCGTCACGCAAGCACGGACTGCAGTCAGCAGACTTTGTAACGGCCGCGGCCGAGAGGCCAGTGGCTTCGCCCTTTTTTTCGAACATTGAAACCTGCAAGAAGCCTAGACCCATCGAGGCAGCTACGATTTCTGTGCGCGTCTAAAATCTACAAAGTATGATCGACATCAACGGTATACGGCTGCTACTCGGCCGTGAGGCAATGCGAGAGGCCACGAGACGTTCTACAATTATAATGTCGGCAATAAGAAGATTCAAGTTTTCAAGCACCGAGCAACAATTATCTTCAATACGGTCATCAATACGATATGGTCACAATTCGCATCAGAAGACGCGGTACGGTCACAGTCATCTTTAACCGCAGTACGGCAACGAGCTTAGAGTAATATCATCGATGATTAAGACTACGCCACTATTCAAAAGTACGGTCGTTGTAAAACAACCTACGGCCAGACTGGCCGTGTGACATCTATATCAGCCAGACACGACGGCTATGGAGCAAGAACGACCGCGGGCAGCGGGGATAAGCGGCTACGGACACGGTACGGCCGCCGGAAATTCTGCCGCAACGTGTGCGTGCATTATACGGTCGTTTACAACAGTCGTCTACTCAACGGAACTGCAACGGATCAATGTTTCTGGTAAATAGAGAAATTTTAGTAATGTCAACTGATAGGTTTTCACTTTTGATTGTGTTCGGACTTTCTTTTTTCATGTTCCAGAGATTTTTTTTGTTAACGTTGGATGTGAACATGAATTTCCCAGTTTAATATGAAACGTACAAGTGTTTTATTACAACCCTCTCTCTGTACTATTTTTGCCTATTCATGCGAGAACTTTTTCATACGTGCCTATCAAGCCACTCGGCGTCAACCTGACAAAACGATAAGTTATGAATATCTGGAACCTGAACCTGAACGTAACGTAAAATTGAAGGAGTAATCACTCCGATTGTCCAGCTTTAAAATATAAGAGACGATAAAACAAATCCACTTTTTTTACTAGTCTAATCATGTCCAAATAATGATACACTTTCTGCCTCACTTTCCTGAACCTGGCCCTAGCGGTTCAAAAGAAGAAATTAGCTTGCATTCAGAGAAATGAATGAGATAACGTCTTAGTAGCGATGCGTTTTTCGCCTCATTTTTTTGAACGCAGCCACTGTGGCTCATAAGATAAACTTGTTTGAGCAGTGCAAACTTTAGCAACGAAGCTAGCAACACGCATGGCTTAAAAAATAATTGGTGACACAATTCAACGCACGAAATGTAATTTTTTTACTTTAAATTTTATTTAATTTAAATTTATATTTGTACCATGACTTGTATATTTTTCATAATTCTTTAATATCTTGCACTATAGCTTTCATTCAAAATACGATTGGATGGCAAAGTTCACAGTAACTTGTACGAACAGCACATTGAAAAAGAGAAAAGAAGCATTCACTTATTTTTGAAACGTTAACAAGATCCTTGGTCAGAAATACCATAATAAATGTTACTTTTAAAGATCTATATACTAAAACTAACTGAAGCTCATTTCATGGAATTTAAGAGTTAATTTCAAAAGTTTAAACGTTTAGACATCAATTCGTTTCGAAGCATTACGAATTAAATACAATTAACCTTCTATTTCTTGTGTCAAATTAAGAAGAGATAAAAAAATGATAAAATTACGAACCATCATCAGCCGTGATTAGAAAGATGATCTCTGCCTCCGCATTGCCTCCTTGCACGCCACTGCGAGGCCTCACGTGCATTTCTAGCGGGAAAACATCAGCTGGAAGATCAGCGACTTTGCTCGTCTCACCGCTGGGTACGTTCCAACATAGCAGCTGGTGGTCGGCTCTGGCATATTTTTAAAAATAATTTCAATTAATATTCGTAATATTAAATATACATTAAAATTAACCAAAACTTAATTAAATTAAATTAAACAAAATGCCAGCAGTTCACAAGAGTCAAGATCCGTGTAAAACGAAGAGGAAGCCTAATCTTTTACGTGGAATTTGAAGTCATGTTAATTGTTTCGAATCACCGACATGTGGAACAGCCTCCCTGATTACATCGTTGACGCTCCGAGTATGAACGCGTTCAAGAACAGGTGAGATAAAGCTATGGAAAAATATATGTTCAGACTTGAAATGCCTAGCACCATATCGAACCCGGTGGAAGTCTAGTAGCTATTCCGGTCAAATGACACGATTTTAGATCTTTTGTGAACAAGTCACGAAAAGTTCAAGAATCGATGACAGACCACATCAGGCCTACTCCTTGGAGCCGACATCACTATGTTATGTTATGTTAAATCAATGCCGAGTAGCAGATAGGCTCAAATAGAAGTTTACGAATGTACATTGAAGAATCGTAATCGCAGAATCGCTAACTTGAAGTTGATGATTGAAAACCGTTAGGATCATTCGGAATCTGTGAATTTATTACACTCCCATCAGCATTACCTTCAATAATAGTAGAGCTCTTTTATTTGAAAATACAAATTGAGTAAAAAATCGAAGGGTTTACTTCACGTTGTCGAACTCTTGTTTTCACCCCAAAAAATTCCTCGCTTGAAGTTTTTTTTACTTCACGGCCAATAAATTAACAAAGAGCAGTCAGTTATTGTTAAAATAAAATAGATCAGTTTAATATTTTAGCAAAATATAGAATTAAACGACAAAAAGGAAGTATGTTTAGTAACACTGTTCAGATCAGAGATCTTGGGCTGGTGCGGTAATTGCGAAACTAGCTTAAATACGCGTAGTGGATTAAGTACCCGAAGCAGCTTGAGTACACGTAGCATCCTAAGTACACGGCCCATTTCTCGTCTGTGAGTGGTGGGTTTAGCTATAAAAGCCGTCAGTGATTGGCCGACAAAATTACAAACTCGTAACATATTTCCGAAAGTACGGCTTCATTAGTGCTCACCCGCAAGAGTAGAGCTCGTCGGGCGTCACCCAGGCCACGCACGACACCGCGTCTGAGTGTCGGGGCTGGTGCTGCAGCGTGACTTCAACAAGCCGCATCGTAAACTGTTCACTCTATGTCTGCTATTTCATCTGTAGCAGAAATGATAGCAGGATAATAGGCAATAATGATTAATTGTTAATACTAGTTATAATTCTTAAAAGAAGTAACCAGTATTAATGCCTAATTTTAGTATTAGTAGTAAAATTTATCAATTTTTATCATAGTATAATAGTACATGATTCTTAATTATATAATAATTATTGCAATGAATAATTAATTAAAATCTAAGTAGTATATATAATAAACAAAAAATGTCGTCTGGTATACTTCAGGCCTTGCTGGGCCTGTCAGTTATTCATCCTACGTACTACACTAGACCGTTTCAGTAGAAGTTATGACCTGTTATATTCACAAATATATTTATTTATTTTTCATTGTGTGTGCAAACGAGAGCCAATACGACCGTTTTGCACAAGGGTTTGATACTTAATGTTTCTGCAATAAGCATGGGCTGTGCTCTATCGAGCTAAATTGTTCACGCCTCTCCGGAACTGAGCGCGCTTTGTTAAGGACTCCGGAAATGAATCGTGGGAGAAGGGCGTTGGCTCTGTATCGACATATGAGCCGAGCTGGAGATACACACGCTAGCAGTACGCAGTATCAAGTATCCTGATTCAGAATTACACCTGTAAGAAATAATTTATCCCATATAAGTAATAATGTCACTCGTTGACTTGAATCGCAAATTCACTAAAAACTTGAGAGCGAAGAAAACTCTACTACAAAATTTCATACTATCTTTAGAGAAAACATTTCCGATTCCAGCTCCATCGTCAGTTTTAAAATTTTAGAACACAGATAAATCAGTAATTGATAGTCAAGATTAAAAAAAACTGAGCGGTAAAACCTATCTATTTACAATTTCAAGTGGGTAAGAGCTAAAAGCTGAATTTAAACTAGGCCTATGTGTAAAAATATACAATTATTCTAAAATGCGCAAATCAGAAACACCGGAAGTGGAAGCTAAAACCTTGAAGTCACTGTCAGAAATTGGAACATCACACTGCTCGGCGTGAGCACGCGCAGCCGAATGGGGGGGCGCGATAATAAGCGACGAGTTCTACAACTCCTGCCCCAATGTTCTGCTACCCCAGAATAAAGATTGCGAGACATCATCCCGACGTACGCAGATGCACATCGTGCACAACTATATATATAAACTAGAGACGCTCACCTCTTTGGACCTAAAAAAAGAACCGATTTTAAAATTGTTTACCGATAATACCCAAAGATTAACAACTGCGAAGTACTTTGAAAACAAAAGTTTTAGCATCCGTGACAGTTTCGGATGCAGGGCCGAAATGTGGAAGGGAGCAATAAACAACATTCCTACTGTCGCGCTCAGGAGCAAACTCATTGTACCACTTGGACATGAATTTCTTTTTTTCTGTGGGCATTGAACCGGGAGTGATTGATGTTTGTGTATGTACGCATATATTTTTTTATCGCTGAAAGATTACTGAATTGTGAAACTCCTGTCATGATGGAAATTTTTCGTTTATAAAAATGGAATTTCTTCAGAATGACTGTTTTTCTCACAAGGACCTTAATTAAGTTGACGGTGCAAAGGATGTGCATATTCAACGTAGTACGTAGTCACCGCTGCCATTCACCAGGAACCTGACTCGGCTTAACATATCATTATTTATTGTTTGTATTCGCAATCACTGGCCGAGGTGAAATTTGAAGCGCATAAGTGCTTAAAAAATTTGAATTTTAGGCAGAAAATAAACGTTATGGAGAATCTATGGAGAGTGTGAGATAGATAATTTCATAAGCAACTTGTACTTGAACTCAGTGTGCATCGATCGTCTCAGCGTACGTCAAAATGACGTCGCCTAACTTGAACACCAAAGCTGCTGAACACCACTGGAGATATTTCATTCTAGATTTCCGCTCTAGAGTCGCTCTAAATCCCAACAAGTCATGCGGACCAGACAGCTTCTAGCTTCCACCCTAGACTGCTCAAAGTATTAGCAACCGACCTGCGCCACTGTCCGCAAGTTACCGGTTCGGTGGCAACCTGATTGTTAATTGATAAGTTCCTCAATCGAAGATCTTCAAATCAATAGTAGAAAAACCTGAGGGGTTTTGGTTCGTTTGAATAATTGTCCGAATAACATATTAAATATTAATTGGCCAGGGAAGGATAATAACAAGACGTGTATCTAAGCGTAAGTACTAAAGACAGGTTCACGGGATACACTAGGTAGAAGTTACAGGATACTGTGGATAGAGTTTTACGACACTGCGTGTTGGTATGCAGCAGGCGAGTCCAATCGTTCAACGTAGACAAGAGGTTAGTGGTGCATGATCTACCGGCAATAAAGCCATATTTACAGTCTGATAGGAGATGGTGAATAGGCATGCAATCTACAATTCTATCCCTCACAATAGATTCCATTACCTTATAAACAACACTTGTCAGACTGACAGGGCGATAGTTACCGGGGCTACTTTTGCCACCTTTTTTGAACAATGGTGTTACTTAAGAGCTTCTCCCCAATCGGTCGGCAAAGATACTTCATTCAATGTTTTTTTTAAATAATACTGTCAATGTGTCGGCCAGGACGAAAGGGAGCCAGTGGATGCAGTGGACCTAAATTTTGCCAAAGCATTTGAAAGTGTTCTGCACGAGCGGCTGCTGAGTAAAGAGAAATCTTTGGGAATAGAGGGAAACGCACTGCAATGGTTCAGAGATTTTCTAGTAGGAACGGCGACGGTCAGTATTAATTAACGGAACCGTATCAGACTGGGCATCAGTGCGCAGTGGCGAGCCACAAGGAGGCGTTCTTGGGCCTGTTTTGTTCGTTGCTTTAATTTATAAACGATCTGCCAGAAGTAGTGTCAAAGGTGGGTTCAATGCATGCCGACGACACAAAAGTTTATTATACAGTGAAGGATGCGTCGAATAAAGCGCAATTACAAGATGATCTTGACAGTTTAGTTAACTGGGCTGAAACGTGGCAGCTGCGTTTTAATGCCGATAAGTGTAAACTGTTGAGTACTTCACCTCGGGAAGAACTACGAACAGCAATGTTTCAGTATGAGAAGACATTGTTGCAACGAGAGAGTAATGATCGACTCAACTTGTTAAAAATTATCATCTAATTACGTCAGTATTGTTTATACGTTTGTCTCGTTTTAGGAGACATAGTCGACGCTCATTAGCTCAATCGTGTTTATCATTACTTTATCCTTGCCTATGTGAAGTCGTCCTGCTCAAACCATATCTCTACTTGTATTTAATCTTACTGTCCTTTCACTCAGTGTGACTTTGGGCGAGTGTGTTTTCATTTTGTTACATTTAATGCATGTCAACACTTCTGTGTTCGCTCCGTTGAGATCTTATTGTACTGGCTTCACGCCAGTCGTTGAAAACTTTAAACCCGTTGGGTTGTTGGCTACTTGGAGCTTCGGAGTTCAACCTAATTTGGTCAAGTGCTGTGAATTAACTTGCATTCATTTAACTATTCAAGTACGAGCGAACACTCCTATATACTATTTTCATTTTTAAAGTTCTCTACACGAGAACTCTTGTCTAAGATGCCTCAACGGCAACGAATAGGTTAGTTATTTTGATTATCTTGCAAGTGTTGTTCTGATTTTATTTGAGCATAATACTGAAATCCATGGCGTTATACCTTGAATTCGTTATTTATAGGCATAAAAACCTTTTTAACCTGTCTTATTCAGATAGGAATCCGCCCAACCGCCTCTACTCGCAAATTGGTCGTCTACCCTACCTCTTCTGTTTATTTGAGCTGGTCTGCTTTAATTATTACGTTCTATTGCCACCTGGAAATATATAGTGAGAATTTGAGAGAGAGAAGGAGACGTTCACCTGAAATGACGATTCTCTCTCTCTCTCTCTCAGTCTCTCTCTCTCTCTCTCTCCGTCTCTCTCCGCCTCTCCCCGTCTCTCCCCGTCTTTCTCTATCTCGTTCTCTCTATCTTTCTCTCTCTCTTTCTCTCTCTCTTTCTCTCTATCTTTCTCTCTATCTTTCTCTCTCTCTTTCTCTCTATCTTTCTCTCTATCTTTCTCTCTCTCTTTCTCTCTCTCTTTCTCTCTCTCTTTCTCTCTCTCTTTCTCTCTCTCTTTCTCTCTCACTTTCTCTCTCTCTTTTTCTCTCTCTTTCTCTCTCTTTCTCTCTCTCTTTTTCTCTCTCTTTCTCTCTCTCTCTCTCTCTCTCTTTCTTCGATCCTGTGTATTTGTATGAATTCAATTTTTCAGCTAGAACTTATAATTTGCCGCGTTGTCTGATTCGGAAAAGAGCGCGGTTGGCTTGACGCTGCTGAGGCGTAGTAGAGCCGTGCGTAAGCGTCAGATCACCCTGCTGCTTAAATAAACAGAGCTGGGCAGCGCTACTTTGAAATGTAGCGGCCGCTCCGCTACGTGCTCTAAATGTAGCGGGCGCTACTTAAGAAGCTGGATGAATCACTTTAAGCAGGGCCAAGTTCTTCGATTGCATCCATTCAGGATCTCTCGTCTTATATGAAATCACAAATATAAAGACACAAATTAACGATATCTTCTCTTTGCATGACGACTACCCTGATGGCATTCCAAAATCCACAATCGTCACTCCATTTGGCTCATACGAGTTTCTGACAATGAATTTCGACTTGTGCTCTGCTGGTCAGACATTTCAGTGTTTCTTGGACGAAGTTCTTCGTGAGTAAATCGTGACTTAGAGCCCCTAAGCGGAGGAGGATCTCGTCCAGCAACCTTCAACTACATCTACGACATCTTGGTAGCATCAGACGACGATGAACATCATCTAGAAGACATGAGTGCCTTATTCACGCGTCTCGCTCAATACGGCCTAAAATCAACCCGCTGAAATGCGAACTAGGCGCGTCAATACTCTACTTCCTGGCAATCCAGGATTTTCAGCGACCTGAGAAAGCCAAAGGCCTTCGTCGTTTCTTAGGTATGTTCAATTTCTATAGAGGTTTCATGCCTTGCGCCGCGTCAATGCTTGCTCTTTATGCAAAATTGGCAGGCATTGCACCCACCAAGAAAAACCCAAATCTTTCCTGGACATCCGAAGAAATCGAAGCCTTCGAACTCTCCAATAGCTTACTGGCTGAAGCAACGATGCTGTCGCACCCAATTCCTGGCGCGGAGATGTGCCTGTGACGCGTCCATCACTGCTGTGGCAGCAGTCCTCCAACAGTCAACGGAATAACTATGTCCATATCTTTATCTTCAGTCGTTCACTCGCTTCGTCTCAGAAATTATTCAGCCCTTTGCAAAAACTTCTTGCCATCTATCTGGCTCTAAAACATTTTAAATACTTGATTGAAGGTATCGACTTCTTCATAATAACTGATCACAAACCAATCGTCGGTGCCGTCGAAAACCCTTCACATAGAGATAACACAAAAAATGTTCGTCAACTGTAATTCATCAGCTCTTTCACCTCGCGATTCAGTCGTCTCCGGCGACAGCAACGTAGTCGCCGATGCTCTTTTACGCAGCCTGCTAGAAGCTCCTGCTTCTGAAACTGACGGCCAGCTCTCCTTGTCTGCACTCATCGTTCATGAAGATGAAGCCAATCTGACTCTGGCTCTCGAACAAGAAAAGGATAAAGAACTTGGAGCTTTACTGACAGGAGCGATTCCGACATCTCTAGCCCTGTTTCGTTAAAATGGCATAATCTGTGAATTGGATGGCAAAATCCATCAAATTAACGGAAAAATCATATCAAAGTGTCAATATGGCTTTATTGCCGGTTGATCCTGCACCACTAACCTTCTGTCTGCTCTGAATGACTAGACCTGCCTGCTGGACGAAAAGGAGCCAGTAGATGCAATGTACCTCGATTTTGCCAGGGCATTTGACAGTGTCCCACACGAGCGGCTGTTATGTAAATTGAAGTCTTTGGAAATTGAGAGTAATGTACTCAAATGGATCAGAGATTTTCTAGCAGGGAAACGACAATGTGTCAGTTTAATAGGACCGTAAAATTAGTGTGACCGTATCAGACTGGGTTTCAGTGCGCAGTTTCAGTGCGCAGCGGCGTGCCACAAGGAAGTGTTCTCTGACCTATTTTATTCGTTGCGTTTATGAACGATCTGCCAGAAGCTGTGTCTAGCATGTGCTCGATGTATGCTGACGACACAAAAGTTTATAATACAGCGAGGAATACGTCGCAAAAGTACAGTTGCAAGGTGATCTTGACAGTTTGGTTGACTAGGCTGATAAGTGGCATCTGCGGTTTACGCTGACAAATGTAAAGTAATCCACCTTGGCAAGAATAATAAACAGCAAGATTACAGTATGAAAAGACATGGTTGCACCGACAGAGTAATGTTGCCAAAGTCGACAGTGGAAAAATATTTAAGAGTTAATGTCGACAATGAGTTGAAATTTTCTAAGCATATTGAAGCTCAAGTTATTAAAGCCAAGCAACGACTTGGACTGATCAGACACTCGTACATGTCCATAGATGCAGAAACGCTGAAGTTGTTTGTCGCTGTCGTGCGTTCGAACCTAGAGTTTGGAAACTCAGTGTGGTCATCAAAACTAGAAAAGGACAAAAATTTAGTCGAGAGTGTACAAAGACGTGCAACAAGGATAATTCCGGGATTAAAAGACGAGCCTTACGACGAAAGATAAAAAATTATGAAGCTTCCAAGCCTCTTTTATCGACGTCTGCGTGGTGACCTCATCGAAGTATGTAAGTATACCCACGGTTTATACAAGGTCCCAGAAGTATTAATGGAATTTGAAACACGAACCAACACCAGGGGCCACGGCTATTAACTAAAAAAACTGTGTTATAACACATCCATGCGACAACATTTCTTCTCGCTTCGAGTCACCGACATGTGGAACAGCCTCCATGATGGCATTGTTGGGGTCATCGACACACCAACTCAGCCTACATGATCGAATGGGGTCATTTCCACTGATAGTCTTTAATTAAAATCACTTTATTGCACAATCTGTTTAGTATGTACAATCCACTGTAATATACACATTCACGCGCTGGTTAATTGATGAGAAGATGACTAATTAAGTATCGAGTTTGAGTCTCTGGTTTGAGGCTTTCCTCCGCTCGGGCTTCACACCGCACAATAATCTAGGAGCAACTTACACCTTCCGCATTCCGACTTCCGTTAAGTCTAAACTAAAATGGCATTGAGCAACTTCACAACAATTGACGAATCCCACTAGCACCTTACGAGCCTTGCAATAAGTCCAGCAGCTATCTCAATCAATATTCGTCAGTTGCGGAAAGAAGGCCGGATCCCTTGTGTAATCGAGTCACGAAAACTACAAGAATCAGCAACAGGCCATGGGCCTACTTTTCAGTGCTAACACTTATTTTCTATTCGTTTCTAGATATACTGTAGTGGTCTTATGATATAAGAATCACTAAGTAATATAATATAATAATCACAAAGTAAGAATCTTGACGTAAATATAATTAGACTTTAGACGATGAATGCGTCAAATATGTTTAATTTTGTACTTTTCCAGATCCTTCACCTCCTTTCGAAACTGTGTGCTCACTCGCAGTTAGTTGCCAACGGCAGTTCAGCCGTCATATGCAGTGTCTGCAGCTTCTTTTGAACAGACGCGGAAAACGAGTATTATGTAATCATCTACTGTTTAATAGTTTTTAATTCTATCCAGTAATTACCTGTTCTTCATGCTGACTCAATTTTAGCCTGCCGCTTTAGCCTGCAGTGATTATAACATAATTTCACATATTTTTCAATCAATACATTTTTCATGCAATTTCCTTGTGTGCGACAGTTTCGTGTCTCGGGCCAAGGCCACAAGGAAGAAGCACATCGGCAGTGGCAATAACTATGTATGGCATACAGAAAGAGGCAGCGCTGCTCAAGGGGTAGAGCAGTGGTTCCCAAAAGTGGGCGATATCGCCCCCTAGGGGCGGTGGAGAGATTTTGGGGGCGCTAAGGAAGAAGACGATAGGGGGGCGGCAGTCTGAAGTCAGAAGTTCGAACGTTTGTTTGACGGTTTGTACACAACACGTGCAGCCCATGACTCCCAGCGATGGTTCTTTTACCCAGATCTGTTTTTTAATTAACCTCTCCTGGGTTTACGTCTCTGACAAATTAATTAACAACCGGACTCGCGGCCGGTCTCACGACCAATTTCCAAATTCAGTGATCTAGAAATATCTCTAAACTAATGAATGCAAGTCTATGAAACTTGGTACATGTATTCATTGGGACCTAACGGTGATGTTTGGCTCGTGAAAATTTTTTTTAATTTTGCCTTCATTTTCAAATTATACGGCAATACAGGCCGGAAATCACAATGATCAAGGAATTTCTTCAAACCTACGGAACTGATTCCAACGAAATTTAGAATTTACAGCCTAACTACCGAACGGTAATGTTTAGCTCGTGATTTTTTTCGATTTTGCCTTCCTTCGCAAGTTTTTTTTTTTTTTTTTGCTTAAATTCGCAGTAATCAAGAAATTTCTTCCTAACTACTGAACAGATTGGGACGAAACTTAGTATTTAAATACCTAGCCTCAGCAACGGTGATGTTTAGCTCGTTACAATTTTTTCTATTTTGCCTGCGTTTGCGATTATACGGCTATACGTAAACGGCTCTTGGTTTAAACCGGCCAGTAGAAAAGCCGGTAGTTTCTTCTATATCCGTATAACTCTTGAACGAAAGTAAAATAGAAAAATTGTCACGAGCTAAACATCGCCGTTGGGAGGTTAGGTATTTATATACAAAGTTTCGTTAAGATCTGTTCGGTAGTTTAGCAGAAATTTCTTGATCGCCGCAAATTTAAGCGACAAATTACCCGGCGATACAGGCCGAATATAACGAAGTGTGAAATCAAGAATGACGGTGAAATGAAAAAACTATCAAAAGAAGGTAAAGAGAAAAAAATTTTATAGGCTGAAAAAATTACCGTTTGGTTGTTAGGAATGTATATTCATAATTTCGTTCAAATCTGTTTAGTAGTTTCGAAGAAATTCATTGATCACCGAGAATTTGGGCCTGTATCCAGAGCTGGGCAGCGCTACTTTGAAATGTAGCGGCGCTACCGCTACATGCTCTAAATGTAGCGGGCGCTACATTTAGATTGACATTACACCCACTAGATTGTAGCGAGCGCTACCGCTACAGTAAAATGTAGCGCCGCTACATGAGCGCGACAATGGCCAAAATTATTGGAAATCTCTAAATATTTATTGTTCTCCTATTGGGATTTACTCATAAACATTTAATGATAATATAACGTTTTCAAAACATATCAATGCAACTTTATTGCAATTAACCTAATTCCGAACTAGTACGGGTTAGATACAGTAAATAAAAGTTACAGTTAGTTTTATGTTTTATCTTCCCTACATGGATGTCTAGTTTAATCTACCAATCTCAAAAATTATCCACATATACATATAAAAATCAGTCTTTAATTTGTATATATATGTGGATTATTTAACGCACAGGACGGCTACAAGATGACCTCTGTCACGAAAAAGCTTCCGAGTCTTCATCCAAGAGAAGTCCGGCTTATCCATGGGATACTCCAACATCCAGTGACCCACTTGTTCTGCTCACCAATGTCAATGAAATTCTCAGGTTCTGTCAACCAGCGAGTGTCAAATCTGGAGGTCGGTAAGTTCTGTCGACAAGCAGGATTGCTAGGTTCGATCATTTCCAGTAGATTTGCACAAAGTCCGACCATTTCCGGTAAATTTACACGAAGTCCGATCATTTCGGGTAGATTTGAACGAGGTCCGATCATTTCCAGTAGATTTGCACGTGGTTCGTTCATTTACCGTAGATCTCCACGAGGTTTGATGATTTCCGGTAGATCTCCACGACTTTCGATCATCTACAGGCGACCTCCAGGATGCCTGATCAATTCCAGTTGATTTCTCTAGGTCTTTATATTTTCCTGGTGACCTCCATGATTCTTGATCGCTTCTGGTTAGCTCTGATCGCCAGTTTCCTGAGGAAGAAGAAATTCCACGGACCCTGCTGAATGAAATAAAAATTATGAAAACATACTGAGGCCTCTGAAGTTACAATGTAAATGTCGTCAAAAAACGATATTGGTGCAAGTCCATCAATGTTTCAGCAATTTTTAACGAGTTTTGATAGATAGCAAGTCAATCAAGCCACACGCAACCAAATGTATTCCTAATATTCAAAAAAACAATACCTCCAGAAGTTCTTTCCCTCGTGTTGCTTCCATTCGTCACGTGTACGAGGCACCCGCACCCAGTACATGGAGTTAACTTTGCAGCCAGTTGCTCTAGTTCCAAGAGCCGTCTGCGCGTCGCTCTTGTAAGGGATAGCGCCTTTACTGGTGAAGAATTGCAGGACCGTGACGAGGTTCCTACCATAACGCATCATCAACTCTTGGTCGTCGCATGCAATTATTCCTTCCAGTTTTCCTTCTCTGTATAAATTGCAGGACTTCTTCCACATGGAAAACATAGAGTTCAGCTTCACAAATATCATCCATTTGCCGCTTTTAGAATCCTCGTAGTCATACTTGGACCACAAGTCTTCTCTCTCCTCATATAACCAGAAATATTCGTGTTCGGCGGTGGGGTCTTTAATTTCGGTGTCATAATGAAGCGCATTGTCAGTGGTGAGATCAGTTGTCTGGGGCTGCTCCTGCGCAAATAAAATAAAGAAAATAGTTAACCTGTTCCGTTTAGTCAACTATTTTGTGATACTACGATGCATAATGAAGCGCTAATGGCGTGTGGTGGTGTATAATGGTGCCTACATCAAGCCTACTACAATGTACAATGTAGGTACAATGGTGCCAACACCCAGCCAAGACCTACACCTCGAGAGGGGCTAGCTGGGCTAAATTTTCATCATCGAAGAACGCTGGGAGGCCATTGGGAACGAACTCCTCGAAATTGACTGGATATCTGAGTTCCTGGAATTAAACGCCGAAACAATGTACAACAAACTGCGCGAAGTATTACTGCAGGTATGCGTGCGTCACACGCCGGAAAAAAACGATCCCCAAACGCTACATAATTCCGAGGGACAGACGGATCCTTATGAGAAAACGAGCGAGCTTGAACAACCAGATAACGGCTGCCTCCGGGAATATAGAGAGGCAGAGGCTGGAACATCTAAAGGTTAAAATTAAGGAAACTGAACGACAGTTGCAGGACTCACACGAGGCCGAGCAACAAATTGCAGAGGCGCAAGCGGTGTCTGCCATTCGAGAGAATCCCAAATATTTCTACAAATATGCCCGGTCAAAGGCCAAAATCAGAGCCGCAGTGGGGCCTCTGAAAAATAACGATGTCCTTGTTGGAGACGACAAGGGCATGTGCGAACTTCTGGGAGCTCAATTTGAAAAAGTATTCAGCGAACCCCGATACTCAAGGCAGGAGAACGAAATTGGAGTCATTCAAGAACT